TTGTCGAGACTGGTCTCGAATCCCTGAACTCAGGCAATCCTTTTGCCTCGGCCTTCCAAAGTGCTGGGATTACAGGCATGAGCCACCACTCCCAGCAAGTCATTTCTGCATTACTTATAATACTGCATATAATGTGATGCTATGTAAATACTTGTTATACTGTATTGCTTAGGGAGAAATGACAAGAAAAAAAGCCTGCACTTATTCAATACAGACACAATTATTTTTCAAATATTTTTGATCCACAGTTAGTTGGATTCATGGATATGGAACTGATGGATAGGGGAGGCCAACTGTACTTCCTTTAGCTATGATTGGACCCTACTCACTTCCACTTTAGTTGTAGATTAAACTGTTAATTTTAGAAAGTATATATTGTTCTAGTCCAGACTGTCCAAGCTCTTGCTCCTCCTTCAGGGACTCTTCCTGATAACAGATTTAGTAGAGAGATTAGTTGCCATTATTATCATGATTATCAACAACAAACAAACCAAGAGCTCTGAGGTATACAGTAGTATGATGATTCCCTGAATCACAGGGTATTTAGACTAGAAAGAACCTTAAAGTTAATTGGGTTCAGCCCCCTCATTTTAATAGGTAAAGAAACTGAGACTTAGGTTCATCAACTATAATGATAACAAGAGCAGTGGTTTGGCAGCCATATAGGCTATCTGGGCATATGACTACCACATAGCAAGTTCCAAAAGGATTCCATTTTGGAAGTGTGGTAAATTTATGGCCAAATGAAGTTAGTTAAAAGTTATTTAAAATACAGGCAGTTGGGTAGGTCTCCAAGAGGAGTCCTCATAGGTGAAGAAAACCACACTGGTAGCAGTGAGGTCTTCATTTATGTGCTAGAAAAACCTGATTGATAGAGACCTAATATTGGGACATTTCTATAAATATAGCCTCTACATTTGAATAGGGTATTTGAATAGGATATTTGAATAAATATCCTGGACTGTGTAAGGGTACTTTTTGCTTTCCACTTTTGAGGTTAAGCTCTGACTCGTTGAGTTCACTCTGTAGGTTTTTGCAGAGGAGTATATCTAGTGGGCTGTTCCTTTGTTATACCTTGTTCTCATTTCCAGATTGAGTTATGTAATGTTACTGATTTTTAGCTCTAGAAATAATCTCTCTTCATGAAACACAGCATAACACACACCACCCAAATTAGATTTATTTCCTTGTGTTAGTGCTGTTTGAGTGTATTTTCAGAAATCTATGAAATAACTAACTCCTAGTTCTCTGGTATGTTAGTATTTAGCCAGACAACACATTATAGGCTATGCAATAATAACAATAGTAGCCAGTGAACACCTACTATGTGCAAAGTGTCATACAAAGATAAGGAAAATTTGATGGGTAGTAAAGTCGAATAACTTGACCAAGTTACACTTTTATTTATTTATTTTTGTTTTGTTGTATTTTTTTTTTTGAGTTGGAGTCTCACTCTGTCGCCCAGACTGGAGTGCAGTGGCTGCTCCCGGCCACCGCAGCCTTGACCTGCTAGGCTCCGGGGATCCTTCCGCCTCAGCCTTCCAAGTAGCTGGAACTACAGGCATGCGCTACCACGCCCAGCTAGTTTTTGATTTATTGTAGAGATGAGGGCTTGCCAAGTTGCCCAGGCGGGTCTCGAACCTGTGGGCTCAGGCAATTCACTCACCTTGGCCTCCCAAAGCGCTGGGATTACAGGCTGAGCCACCGAGCCCGGCTCCAAGTTACACTTAGTAAGCAGTGGGACTGGACTCCAAATTCAGAGTTGTCTGGCTTCTGAGCCTGCTCTTTTAGAGCCTATTCACAGGATATAAAATCTACAGTGGAGAGTCCTCCTATTGAATATGGTATGTTACTGAGCTGTTGTAACTTCCTTGGTCTCTAAATTGAACACTGGTTTTACTCTTTATATTTGACTTACTGCTCATTCCTGTTTCTCTGGAAATTAAGCTTATAAAGTAGGTAAGGTGGTTGACTGTTGGCTAACAGTCCTAGATAGGCATTTATAGCCAGAAATGCTCGTTCCCTTTCCCCTCAGTCAGCCTAAGAAAAGGGAGCAAATAAGTGTTAGGGGTACTGAATAGGTTAGGTGTTATCTAAGTTGGATGAAAGAAGCCAGCCTTATAGAAACCAACATCTGTTCGATCCAAATAATCTTAGAGGTTTGAGCTTCTAAATAGATTGGCACATTAAGAATTCACTTTGGGCTGGGCTTGGTGGCTCGGCCTGTAATCCCAGCATTTTGGGAGGCCAAGGCAAGTGGATTGCCTGAGCCCATGGGTTCGAGACCCACCCGGGCAACTTGGCGAGAACTTGTCTCTACAATAAATCAAAACTTAGCCGGTGGTAGTGTATGCCTGTAGTTCCAGCTACTTGGAAGGCTGAGGTGGAAGGATCGCCAGAGCCCAGCAGGTCGAGGCTGCGTTGGCCGGGAGCATGACACTGCACTCCAGTCTGGGCAGCAGAGTAAGACTCCAACTCAAAAAAAAAAAAAAAAAAATTCAATTTGTAGTGCCTCACATACCAGTATATTTTCTAATTAAGCCTTCATGCTAGTTAGACAGGGATCTTGAAGCCTTTTAAAAAAATGTTTTGGTTTTATGACAGGATTAGTCTTGCGTTTAAAAAGCAACACAATAATTAGACTTTAATACTATTCCAAATTCTCACCTTAAAAGAGAAATTTAATGTGTCTTTCCAAAAGACAGTTTCTTTTTCTATCCCCTTAACATAAATGCCAAGAAAAAGTATCATTATATTAACAACTAGGTGCATTTATTACAGGTAACTTATGGAATTGGTATTTCACATATAATGACAAAAAAAAAATAGACTGTGTTGGTTTCTTAGTGCAGTTATTTTCATTTGTGTTGATCCTTACTGAGCTTCAGTTTACAACTTTAGCCTAATGTCTGGTGCTTCTTTGTCTTTAATGTTAGTTTTTACTAAACCTGAGTTCTACAAATTCCTAAATACAGCTCTCAGATTTACAACTTGTCCTCCCTTCCCTTCCTTGTTCATTAATTCATTTTTTATTTATCCTTTATTTTTAAAATTTCCCTTTTCATTATGAAAATATTACCAATGATAAACCATCTTTTTAAAAAATCACTATATAATATTCTATTAGATGGATATGATATGTTTAATAGAATGTTGTTAAATGCACACCATTTCATCTGTTCCCTGTTGTTGGATACTCTGATTCTTTTTTTCTTTCACAAATTAGATAACACTGCAGTGAATATAGTGACATACATATATTTTTCTCTCCTTCTGAATGATCATTTAGGATAAATTCCTAGGGGTAAGAGTTCTGAATCAAAGGGTATGAATATCTTTATGCCCTTTATCTAATATATGTTGCCAAATCACTTTACCTTTTAAGGTTTGTGTCCATTTATACCACCACCAGCAATATTATACCTGAATTTATTGATACCCGTTCCTCACTGGGCTTTATGTCTTTAATCTTGCTCTCCTTTGATCTGGCCTGTGAGCTACTGTCAAAAATATTCTTTGAGAATGCTATTCACACCTCCCTCATAGTCTTCTCCTGCTTCCCCTGCTTATACCCTACTGCCAATTAGGGTATAAATTTTTAAATCCATTTCCTTACCATTCGACTTTGCCCATTTTAATTGTTTTGTATCCGTTATTTGAGGCAGTCTCCCTTAGGTTTTCTCAAATAGCCATATCTCTTACCTGTAAGTCTTCCCTCTGACCATTTCTTACATTCAGAACTTCTTTGTCAACATTCCTCCATCTCATTTAATTTTTTAAAAATTGCTGTTTTTAAAAATTGCTGTTTTTATAGAGCTGTCAATGCAGAACCACCTCTAATGATGGTATCTTTAGTACTTAGTATACTTAACTTCTGACGGGTTGCCAGTAAATATTTGTCAGTGTGGCCATTGAGAGAAATAAAAAAGGAAAAGTAGAGAGATGTTCAGCAGAGATTTACTTTTTTATTTTTAAGGAAGGCTTGGGATTTATAAGAGTACTTGGTTCTTCTGAATAAAACTTGAGAGGAGAGTGGGGAATTCTGTACTCTTTTTTCAGTACCACCATTCTTTTGTGACAGTGAGTAAGCCAATTTATTTTGTCTTCCATTCTGTTCTACTTCAACTTCAGAGTGGAAAATATAGTATTGCCAGTCATTTCCAGAGTCATGACTCTCTTACCTTCCAGTTGTTTTTTTCCTCAATGTCACTGGCATCATCATCATTAAAGCCCTAATATTTACTGAGTACTGCTATGTGTCAGGCACTGAGATGGTGCTTTATATGGCTTAGCTTTTCAAACCCTCAATCATTCTGTGAACTAGATACTCCCTGTTTTCAGATGAGAAACCCAGTTACAGAGAATTGACTTGCTCAGGATCACAGCTAGTAAACACTCAATCTTTCAGAATTACTTTTCTAAAACACCAAACTGTCAATTCTCTGATAATTTCTTATTGCATATGAAAAATAAAGTATATATTCCTCAGTAACATTGGAAGGCCCTTCCAAATCTCTCTAATCTCCTTTTCCATTCTCATCTTCCTCCATGTTCCCATCCCCAAATATGCATCCTGTGTTTCAGTCTCTCGGAGCTATTTATTTCATGAATATTTCATAGAGTTTCACACATATGAGCCTTTGTTTTTGTTCCTAGAGTGCATTCCATTTGCCTCTGGCAAACTCCTATTCATCCTTCTAGGTCCAGCTCAAATATCAAATGCTCTATATTTCAAGCAAACCATTCAGATTTTCCTGGGCAGTTAGTAGCTTGGTTCTCCTCTACCCTTTGTATGTATTTCTGCTGTTGTCTTTTCCCCTTGCTCTATAATTATTTGCTCTATAATTATTTACTTATATGCCTGTGTCTTACTTTAACAAGAATATTGAGATATGGGAAGGCAACATTTTTATAGGGACATTATTTCATGTATTTTTAAACAGCCAAAATTAAAAATCTGTATTTAAAATGACTTTGTTTCCTTTTTTTTCCACCCTCAGCATAGGGCTACTTTCAAATTTGAATCAACAGATGAAGATAAAAGAAAGGTAAGCCTTGGTTTACTGTGTGTGTGTGTGTTTCATTCATTCTAAGCCGTGGTCATATTTTCATCTAATGGTTGTTGATTGGTTTTTGGTTGCCCTTCAGTTTGTTTTTAAGAACCCTGAGAAGGAGAGGTGCTATATTTAGTATGGGTTACACACACCTCCTTCCTGCTCGGACCCTGCAGGACCATTAGACTTTCATAAATTGGGAGTGAGAAGGTTCGGAAGAGACTCTCCAGATCTTCTTGCTACTGAAGATTGACTTTGGTGGTGGGACTTCAGGTTGCCCAAAATGCATTGTTAATATTGTAAAGCCAGGATGGGCTAAGTTTTGGGAAAGCAGCTGTTGATGCCCTTTGCCTCAACCACATATCCTTCCCTATGCTGGCCGTTTGCGTTGTTAATAGTTGTATAGGTCACTGACTTCATAGGCATAGAAAAAAATGGAGTCAAGACACTCACTAATTGAGGAGGAATTATAGGAGAGGATATCTCAGAGATATAAACACTTACGCTTGCCTGTCAGGTTGCCTATGATTGCTTTACTTAGTTGATTGAAGCATGATGAGGATAAGCTCAACCTTTCTGCTTTTGTGTTTAGCTAGACTCCATATATCTATTCCTGGCCTCACAAATGTCAAAACCAGATAAGAGAAATGACAGGATCAGTGTAAATCTATCACTGCTGCTGGAAAAACAGTTTGAATCTAGTACTTTGCTGTTAGTGGGTTCATAGCACCTTGAAATCATTTCTCTGTTCACCTCCATCCCCATATCTAATATCTATGTCCTGCTCATTTTCCTCTTCTAGTTTCTTCTGTTCATTTTCTCCTTAACCCCTGCCCTGATTCAATTTTTCATCTGATTACTGCATCGGTTTCCTAACTGTTCTTTCGTTTTCCAGTTATGTGCTTTTCCAGTTGATTGTCGTCCATAAATCTCAAATAGCAATCTAGCCATATAATCCTCAGCCTTTAAATCCTTCTGTGACTTTCTTTGCCTACAGAATAAAGGTCGAGCTTCTTTATTTTTGTTTTTTTTAAGTTGGAGTCTCACTCTGTCACCCAGGCTGGAGTGCAGTGGCACTCTCATGGCCACTGCAGCCTCAATCTGCTGGGCTCAGGCGACCCTTCTGCCTCAACCTTCCAAGTAGCTGAAACTACAGGTGTGCACCACCACACCCAGCTAAAGCTTCTTAACATGGCATATTAGCTGCTCAGTGACCTGATCCCTGCCTACTTTTGCATCCCATTTCTTACCTTTTTCTCTCTTGTATTTTGCATTCTAGCATTATTAAATGTTTTCAGTCACACACACATACATATTCCCTCTGTTCTTACTTAATACCTTTGCATATTTTCTACTTAGAATGCCCTCTCCCTCTTGTACACCTCTTTTTTATCTGTTTAATCCCTACTCACCTCTGGGTCATCTCCTTTAGCAAGTTTCCTCTAGCATTCTGGTTAGGGTAAAGTATCCCTCTTCAACATTCCCATGATATTCCATGTAAATCTCTAACACTAAT